ATACATACATACATACATATGTGTATACAGGGATAAACAGATAGATAGATAGATGGTTTTAGGGCTTAGGGTGTATGTATACCTATAGATATAGAGACATGTAGAGGCTATGTAGGGTTTATACAGGATATTATGGTCCCAAGAATGGAGAATCAAATGCAAAGAAAACGTAGACTGGGATTATATAATGGCTTATAAGGAGTAGGAAAATCGTGGTACCTTTTTGGGTTTCGCTATAATGCTGATTATTGATTTATTGATTATGATATATGTGGAGGGGAGGGGGGTCTGTATTGGAAAGTACCATATGTAGGCTTAGCCATATCCTCCCACAGTCACATATTCCTATATATATATATACATCATACCTAGACATATACGAACTAACGTACTTTTGCATGTGCAACTACAGACGTGACATATGCCCATGAGGGTAGCACAGCTTCTGGGACCTCTGAGATCCATAGCTTAGATCGAAAACTTAATGTAAGGGCCTCAACAACGAGAATCAAGTTTTGAGGGTGAGTAATAGCATGGCTCCATGAAAATTGTCAGGAGACACTCAGATTTCGAGGCTTCAGGTCAAGGAGTGCAACCACCCAGCCTCTGCCAGAAATCTGGACAACAGATTGAGAAAGGCCTTCTCATGAAGAGCCTCCGCCAGCTTGGTGGTTGAATTAGGTCATCTCCGTAGCCGCCCTGAAGCCTTCCTGAGATAATCCGACCCAAAATTGAATATCTCCATTGTGGCATATTGTATTATATTGGGAATATTTGATATTAGGAGCTTGCGTGGTTTTGGTTATTTTAGGGGCAGGGGACTGCACGTAAGTCCGTTTTTGGATTGTCTTCATGAGGAGCATGTAGTCATCCTTTGATATCCAATTGGCGCTGGCTTCGCTTGGGGGTTGTCAAACAGGCTGACCCGTCTTTAGGTGCCCTATATGTCAGGGGTCGTAGTATAACAATGACCCAGGAAGGAAAAACAAATCTCACAACACAAAAAATGGATAGGAATAAACTAATAAGGAACGGACCAAGAATAGCTGTTCACATCGCATGCCCTGATAGGGACGTAATCAGCTGCTTGGTGCATCTGGTCTGCAAGAAGCTTGATGCAAGCTTGGTGATAGCAGAATATACAAAGGTTTGTCTGGATATCTGCAGAAACTCTTTGGCAAAAGGTAATCATGCAATCAACTTGGGAAACAACCCGCAACCCGGCCCTGCCACACCCAGCAGCAGCCGCAGCAGGACACAACAATTTTACCTAACACGCTGCGCTCCTTCATGGACCCAGACAGCTGCACACAGCATGGTCACATGACCCACAAGGTTTAGATGGCGCTACGACGGCCTGTCTTACAATCCACCTCCGCTCCGGACATGTCGGAGAAGGTCCCAACACCTGCTTGCAGGGGCGATCGTCTTAAGTGACAGACTCATCAACGAAACTAAAACCAAGCAAGCAAATAAAAAATGAGAATTCACCCACCTAGATTAAGCCTCAATAAGGCTTGGGCTGCGAGAAGAAGAGGATGTTTTGGTTGAGTCGCAGCAAAACCATCTAAAGGCATTCGATTCTTTGAGCTGGGAGACCGCATTAGAAGTCACCTTTGGAGCAGTTCAACTCCTGAGCAACCTCCACAGTGGCCTGACCCTAGCTTTGGTACCACCAAACAGCAACAGGAAGCGACTAGCCCGCAATGTTGTGTTCGGTAGACTTCGGTCCATGTGGAACATATTCGACTCTTCATCACTAACGCTAAGATGAAACAAACACTCCGCCTGATACCAAACATGTAGGGGGGTGGGGTTGGAAAAAGTCAGAACACCCATGTACCCTTCACTATTTTTACTATGATACTACTACGTTTCACTACTATTTCACCACTGGTACCATTATTACTGATAAAACTACCAGTGCTATTTCCCCATTTCCTACTACTGCTATGAAGCAGCGGGAATTTCACAGTCAGGGCTGGCTCGGGGCGCGGTCGGTCAGGGTCTCATGGACACTGATTCCGCGAGAAACCGGTGTAAAGGCACCGACAGCTTCAACACGAGAATGCCAACACCCGCGTAGCCTTGAATATCATTGCTGTTGTTACTGTCATTCCTGACTATTATTACTGTTATTACAAGCGTTACTATTACTACTATTAATACAATCAGTAGTGGTATTACTATGAGTACTGTTATTATTACTATGCTTAGTGTACACCATTAAGTGTATTATTACCTATACCACTGGTTCAGTCTCCTCCGCACCGCCTCGCCGAGAAGGCGTTCGGAGACGAAGCGGCTGGGGCGACGGCCCCGAAAACCCTGAGAATAGTAATCATAGAAAAATATAGTAACAGTCGCAATGACAATTAAAAATCAAAAGCAATAGTAAAGTGCGACTTGGGGCTCGGGCTTGAATTAGGTTTGAAAGATTGGGTTTTGCTTCCTAAGATCTGACATGCGTAGACCTTCACCGTTTAGCCAGTCAAGGCCAGAGCTTGGGGGGGCGGGGGGGTGGTGGGTGAAACTATGATAATGAAAATCTACGAATAATACATTAATGATAGAACAAAAATAATAACAGAATATTAATAACAATAACATTAACCCTGCTCAGGATGCACCGGAAATCATAACAGCTAGTCCAATTTCAGAGCGGCGGGGCCTTCTAACCGTAACCACTACACTATCGGGGTGGTCATATGAGGGACCCTAAACCCTCAAACCTAAACCCTACACCCTGAACCCCAAACCCTAAAATCTAAACCCTAATCAAATAACCCATTATAATAGTTTGCATTCTATTTTCCAGTATCCCACTATAATCGTAATATTGCCCAATGGGTATCTTTATTCCCTAAGGCCATGGGATAGGGAAACAGCCATGAGCCTGACCGCTCAGCTAACAACCCTAAGCCCTGACCGTAGGGTGTAGTACACCTTCAACGCGAAACCCTAAGCCCTACTTGGAGCTTCAGGGTTACTAGAACCTATCTAAAACTGCATTTAGAATCCAAAGCCGCCCCCCGCCCCCTACATCCCCTAAGGATCCAAAGTAATTGGTTTGTAATCATTATAACCCTGAACCTCCATGTGCACGCCTATCCGATTGCATGAACTGCATGAACTCGACAGCAGTTATGTTCGTTGGTTGGCAGAGTGAGACATCTGAATGTTACAAGGACACCCAACATATGCACATATATGCGTATATATATGAAGACATACACCAATGTTCCCTAGCCCTATATACACTCACCACCAACCATAAGGAAAACCTTTACCTCATCCCAATCCCCATAAGCCCTGATATAAACCCAGCTTCCATTTCATCTTGCATGTTTCTCCAGTTGATTCTCCATTCTTCCCCTATTTTGAGACCGTCACACACCTAAACCTCAAATGCTAAATCCTACACCCTAAACCCTAAACCCTAAACCCCTAAAACCCTAAACCCTAAACCCATTAACCCGTAAACCTTAGACCCTACCCAGTCTCAGCCTCGCCCTCCGCGGAGCCCAGGGCGGCGCCACGGCGCAAAGGCGCCGAAAGGGTGGCAGAAGAGGATGAAGCCTGCGGTGAAGAAGACAGGAAGAAATATCCACACGGTTAAGGGTGTAGGGTTTAGGGTTTAGGATTTAGGGTTTAGGGTTTAGGGTTTAGGGTTTAGGATTTAGGGTTTAGGGTTTAGGGTTTGGTAGTTTCCCAAAATAAGGGGACCCCAATATAGACCC